TGAGGCAGGATTAGAGGCAGTTATGTTAATGAGGCAGGACTCAATCTACAGGATTAGGCTGCATCTTGAGTCAGTGTCTTTTGAAATATAAAAGAGAATCGAGCAGAAAAAAGAGGGACCTCCTTGCCGCCAACCCAAGAAGAGCCAGGAGTGGAGGGTGTCCTTTGGTCCCAGGGTCCCTGTGCTGAGAAGCTCCTAGACCAGGGGAAGATTGATGACAAGGACCTTCCCCTAGAGCCGACAGAGAAAGCCTTCCTCTGAAGCTGAATCCCTGAGTTTGGACTTGTAGCTTCCCATATTGTGATAGAATTCATTCCTGTTTGTTAAAGCCTTGCATCTGTGGTATTTCTCTTATAGCAGCACTAGATAACTAAGACACAGCTTCCATTGTTAGCAAAATTTGAATGTTATGTAGAAAATGCAGTTAGTGAATTTTATATTTTTTTATACCTTTTAATGTTATATTAAAGTATAAGTTTGTTTTGTTTTAATATGGTAATTTTCCTGCTGTTTTCCTTTTGATTCAAAGGTCTTATTCATACTTCATTGAAGTGTCCATGGATGAACTTGACTGGATCAGAGTGATCGATCATTCACAATATCTGTGTCGTTCTTGGCAAAAATTGTATTTTCCAGCCCGTGTCTGCAGGTTAGTTCTCATAAATAAGAAATGATTTTGATTTTTACGTAAGGAGATTTGAGCTTTGAGAAACAGACTGCATTTTTCCATCTTATGGAAGAAGAGTTTTTTAGGGTATCAGCTGCCAAACACATGTCAACTAAAAAACTTTGGGAAGCTGTGGGAAATTATGGATCTTAATATTTAGAGTGTGTTGTGGAGCCATTTATCCAAAATGTTTTATCCTGTATTTATGTAGTAGATATGTAAATGAATAAGAAGGAACAGGGAACACTTGAGCAGTGGATATTCTTTTTAAACTCCATGCTGTACATTGAAAACAGAGTTATTGTTCGGGAGGGGGTGTGTCCTTCCCATGAAAGCCATGGGAGATATTTCTGGAGGCTTCCTTAGTAGTCCTCAGAGCAAGGAGAAGGTTTTGGGTGCATGTTCTGGTTAGCAGTTAATAAAATGGGGTTTGACAGAGCAGGTGTTTCAAGTGGGGTTGGGGTTGGGGCAAGGAAGGTTGAGCTGGTGAGGCTCCAGGCCCACATCCTCCCTTCAACCGAAGCACCTTAGCATTTATTGTTGTTGTGGATTGCAGCCCAGTAAAGATTGTTTTTAAAAGGCAATGAAAAAGCTACTGTTGTAGTATTTCATATTCTTTTTAACTTTCTTTATGAAATTCTGCAAAACCTATAAGAATTAATGGGTTTGGGAGTTGGGAAAGGTGGTTAAAGGCTCTTGAAATTCTGTTGTATTAGTTTTCCCCCTGGATGATGGCTTTTGCCTTTTTGCCTGTGTTTTGTATCTTTGAGACCTGGAGGCATTTGGCTCCTGTCCTTCCCATGATTCTTGCAGTGCTTCACCTGCGACTGTACATGACTTCTCTGACTTCACTTCAGTCTCCTTCTGCTCACTGAGCAGCAGCTCACAGGAGTCCCTGGAAATTCCCTCAGATATTCTTTACCTTAAAGTCAAGAGATAAGGACAGAAAGCTACTGGTTCATGTAGTCAGGTGTGGCAGGAAGAGAGAGAAAGGGGTATGGTGGATATAAACCAAGGAGAACTTGGAGCTGGCCGCTCACCTGCCCCCTCCCCATACTGACTGGTGACCCCAGCTAATCTTCCGTTGTGGTTGATTTGGAGCAGATGAGGATAGTCTCTTGGTCAGAAGTCCCCCTTATCCTTGTTGCACTAGTGATATAACAGCCTAAGGGTGAATTCTTACCTCCGCCAAAGAAACCCCACAATACCTTCCAGCCTCTGGTACAGTAAAGAATGTTGCCTATGGTTTTTTATTATGGGTGTGACTGGACACAATATTGTTACCCAGGGATCTTCTTGTGTAAAAATGAAGAAAATCCATTTCATTTCCCCAAAGAGGGACTTAAGTGTCTCAGGTCTGATGATTGCTCTTTTATCAGAGGAATTTTGAATGGATTAAAATGAGGGAGACAAGAAACTGAGTGAGGATTCTGTATCTCAGCGCTGTCTAGGGATACTGTGAGAGTGACAGAGGGGCTCTGACATGGAGGAGGAGATTGAGTCTGCATGGACTTGGGTTATTATGGTTGTAGTGGATTAAAAAATAAGCAGCATAACAACCAAAGTGTCTGATGTGGACAGACTCTGTGTTTCTATTTAATCTAATTTGAAACAATAGGAACATGACCCCCAGAAGAAATCCCTGAAGGTAATACCAGCCGTGACAGGGTCTATGTGCTTTACTCACCCGAAGGCTCGGTTATATGTAGAGAGATGGGTGCCTGCAGTCACAATGTCTGGTTTTTAGAAAATATACTTCCCCTTCCTTTATTAAAGAGTATTATTATTTATACTCCCTGTTTTCTTATTTTGTCTCTCCTTCAGGCCTTGCCTTTGTTTATGTAGCTTTATACGTGTTGTAGAGCCTGGCTGTATTCATGATGCTGGTTTTTGTCTTGGTGTAGCCAGCTACCAACTCTGGTCCAGAAAAATGGAGCAAAAGCAGTGTTAGAGATAGTGATGAACAATAAAAGGAAGGAGTCTTGATATCCACATTAGTAAGACTTTTAAAAAATTTATAGCCACTTTATTATATTAGTTACTATATGGCTTCATAAACTCTGCTTTTTGTAATAGGTTGGAATTTTGATAGCATTTTAAAATCTAAGAAGTCTGTATTGATTATCCGAGCATGTCTTATACTTGCTGGTTCTTATCTTCGCAATCATTTATTGACCACCTAAGCAGTGTTCTAAATACACTTCTTCTAGGAACTTCACTAGGTACATATAAATTCTTTATTTCCTTAGCATGAGGGACTAAGTGTCTTAGGTCTGCATTATGTTAGATAATTTGCACGTTTGTATGTTACCTTTGTTCTTCAGCATTCTTTTTGTATTTGTCTTGCCTCTGATACTAAAATAACAAGCTTCTGGAGGCAAGGAATATGGATTCTAATCTTTTAGTATTCTTGCATGGTACTCAGGTTATGACCTTGTATGCAGTAGTTACTCTATAAATGTTAGGACAGGTTTTATGATGTCAAGATGCTGACTGGTTAATGAGAGAGATTGATTTATGTTAATTGGTATATGTATTCATTGGTACTTTCTATCAATGTACTTGTATAAGTGCTGGAAAACTCTGGAGTGGTAAATGGTTCCATACTATTTGCAAAGGTTACTTTCTCTGTGTGTGTGAGTTTTGTTTTTTGTAAGAAACTGAATTTTGAGGTTAATCTTGAAGGATGTGAGTATCATTATTGATGAAAGATTACATCTAACACATTCACAAAACAAAACATTCTCTATGAATTGGAGAATGTGACATTAAGCAGCCTTCTCTCTGAGTCTAGGCTAAACTGCATGTAAGTCAGCATTGTATAGTAGAAAAACCGTGGGCTGTGGACTGAGGTAGAACTCTTCTCAGATCCAGGTTTCCTTCGTTATGATCTTGGGAAGGAAAGTTGTTTCTCTCTGAGCCATTGTTTCTATAACAGTAAAGGATGGGAATAACAACAACCCCTTTGTGAAGTGTTTGCTGTGAGTGTTAAATAACATTGCATATATATACAAGTACTGAGCCCTGTGCCTGGCCCAAAGTAGAGGCTCACTACGTAGTAGATGTTTTTATTATTTTTCCTAATTTCTGAGATTCTCAACTGGTGTTTGACCTTAAGAGATAGTTAGCCCTGCCATCCTCTTTGCTATGGTGGCTCTCACTATGAGGAAGTTGTCCTTCCCTCAGGAGCTTTTTCTTCTTGGCATGTTCCATGTTGCGTGTCTACACATAGCAATTCAAAACATGCCTAAACATTTCTCTTAACAATTTACCTTAATAATTCTCTTTCTTAATAATCTCCTAATTTCATTTGTATGTTTCTAGCAGTTTTCATATATTTTGTGGACTATATGTAACCTAGTCAGCATTGTATCTCATCAAGATACTGGACACTATCTAATGGCAGTAAGAATAACGTTAGGCTTCAAAACCAGAGTAATCGTTTCAGCCATCGTAGTGAATGAGGGTGGAGGGGAATGATCTCCTCTGTCTTTCTGGGCCCTTTTTAGGAATGCATTGTGGGTTAAGTGCTGACTGCTCTTAGGTAGCCAAAAACTTAGACCAATAGCTCCCCACCACCCAACTGGGGATGAGGAAAAGTGACTTGTCAATTTCTGAACACTCTTTCATATGCCCTCAGAACCCTGTTATGTCTTGTCAGCCTCTTTCTCAGGCAAGGCAATTTTCAGTTTACTCATAAATTCTCCAACTTTCAAACTGTCTTCTTGGCTATCTAATAAGCTTTCTCCAGTTTCTTTCCACAGCTACTAGTAAGGAATGGCAAATATTGAGTGCTCTTGGGGGTGTTTTTAAAAAATTCTGGCTATATCTCAACATGGTGCTGGTAATTTGGCAACCATGTAATGTTGCTGAGATGAGAAGACTTGAAAACGGGTGTGAGTGGGTAGAGTAGACTTAAGAGTCTATGTACGCCTGGAAGCTGGAAACACAGAGTGATCTTGGTGTAACACGTGGGAGTTGAGGGAGCGATCTAGTGGGGTTAAAAGAAGAACACTCAAGGATATGTCTGTTGACAGAGGGAAGAAAAGAATAGGTGAGAGACGTATTTACTGCAGGGGCTGGTCAGAGAGATTAAAGAATTAGGAGGAGCAGGGTATACTGAAGACAAGGCCTGAAAAGGTGCTGCGAGGGGTGTGACATGACAGTTTAAAACATGGGACTGGAACTAAGTTAACACAAAGCTGAACACCTTTCTTTCTTCCCTTGTGTTTTTAGTTATCAGAGTGGTAATGTCTTTTTATGGTATTTTCATTACAAAATTATCTGGTACGTATTTTAAATGTTGATAAAGCTTGCCATCTGGAAGGTTGTACCCAGTTTGTACTGTGGCACTTAACAATTGCCTCTTCTTCCAAACCCTCACCAGTACAGGCATTGTCAATATTTTGCCAATGTGATTTATGATTTATAAAAAATTATGTCTTATTTTAGTTTTTATTTCTTTGGTTATCAGTGAGGTAGAATATCTTTAACACTGGCCATTTGATATTTTTTTATGAAAAGCCTATGTTTATCCTCTGCATATGTTTGACCTGGGATGATTTTCTTTTTCTTTTTGGTTTGTGAGAACTTTATATTAATATATCATATTTTGTCTATGTCTCAACATGGTTCTGGTAATTTGGCAGCCGTATAATATTGCCAGTCCGTACATAGCAGATGTTTTGATAAAGCAAAACATTTCTCTTTATCTTAGTAATATCTTAATCTTCTTATTTCATTTGTTATGTTTCCATATATCCTGTGGACTGTATATAACCCAAGATACTGGGCATTATCTGATGGCAACAAGGATAATGTTAATGCTTCAAAACTGGAGTGATCATTCCAGCCATCATAGTGAATGTCATGTATTATGCAATTTATTACAGTTATTATTAGTTCTTAGTGTTTTTGTTGTTACTTTTTGCCATGTAGAAATTTACTATTTTAAAAGTGTAGTCAAATCTGTCAGTCTTTTT